CAGACAGTCCTACAGAAGCTGGAGTCTTACACAGACAGGAGGTTATAGTATAACTTATACCGGCTATACAGACAGTCCTACAGAAGCTGGAGTCTTACACAGACAGGAGGTTATAGTATACCTTATACCGGCTATACAGACAGTCCTACAGAAGCTGGAGTGTTACGCAGAGAGGAGGTTATAGTATAACTTATACCGGCTATACAGACAGTCCTACAGAAGCTGGAGTCTTACACAGACAGGAGGTTATAGTATAACTTATACCGGCTATACAGAAGCTGGAGTGTTACACAGACAGGAGGTTATAGTATAACTTATACCGGCTATACAGAAGCTGGAGTGTTACACAGACAGGAGGTTATAGTATAACTTATACCGGCTATACAGACAGTCCTACAGAAGTGTGTCTCACCTATCCCTGCCTCGGCAGTGCCGACATATCTGAGCTGCCAGGGGAGTGAGTCAGGCTGGTCGAGCGCCCGTCTGGCCCTCAGCAGGACGGGGGGAGTCTGGCTGCCGCGCAGGATGTACACCTGCTCCTGGTCCACAAACGCCTCCGGGCCAGCCTCCACGTTATCCGACAGCCCGCGCAGTCTGGGGGGAACAAACGACATGACATGGTTAGTTACGCAGGATGTACACCTGTTCCTGGTCCACAAACGCCTCCGGGCCGGACTCCACGTTATCAGACAGACCACGCAGTCTGGGGGGAACAAACGACATGACATGGTTAGTTACTGTCAGTACTGTAGTAATGACGGGGGGCGTCTGGCTGCCATGCAGGATGTGCACCTGCTCCTGGTTCACAAACGCCTCCGGGCCAGACAACCCACGCAGTCTGGGGTAGCCTGGTCCCAGACTCGCTACTACACGGGGCGGTCGGGTTTCCCGTGGGACCAGGTTACAGGATGCCAAGCTACTGCAGCAGCAGAATACGTGTACAGTGGACTGCTACTACTAGCCTCCTGTGCAGGCCCCGCGGCGGTGGAGAAGAGTTTTTAACGCGTTATTTTAATATAGCCGGCCATCCTACATAGCCGACGAGAGAAGGTTGCTTTCCGCCCACGGCGGCTATGTAGGATGGCCGGCTATATTAAAATAACGCGTTAAAAACTCTTCTCCACCGCCGCGGGGCCTGCACAGGAGGCTAGCTACTACTACTACTACTAGTAGTACTCGTACTACATGTATATGTATGAATATTGTAACTTGTTTACTTGCTATTAGCCCGTGGGCACGAATAAACTATAATTTTAATCGTATCCTATTACCCGAAAGGCTAACGTTTACTGACGTAACGTAACGTTAAGTTTACCTGTGCAGCAGTGTCTCGCACGAGGAGTCCAGCACGCTCCCCTGTAGCAGGTACTCCTGCATACTCACACCGCCCGACATGGCGGCAAACTCACGATGGAACAGTCGGGAAGCTACTAGTCCTTAGCGCCGATTCTTCAAGTCTTCGGGGGGGTAGAGAGGGCCTAAAATAAGCAATTTACCTTAACATTTTTTACTTTGTGTGTTGGGGTAATAGAGTTGAAAGTTCATCAGACGAAACCATTGTATAAAGGGTGAGATGGTGAAATGTAACAAAAAAATATTACATGAAGAAACAAAATGTGTCATTCTATTGTTATTATGAAGAATGATATCAGATATGCATATTCAATTTCACTTTTGTTTCATGGATGTGAAATGATAGTTTTAATATGAGAAATACAATAATCACCCCCACCGATTGCTATGTACTATGCCGACCTATGCGGATGAATTTAGATTGGATGTACTGAAGTCAGGCTGGTCATTTGAATAAAGAAAGTAGTTTTCCTGAACTTCTGTGCAATTAATGTCATTATTCGCTTCAACTTGCTAAAAAGACCATACTACATCCTGTAAATGGTATTCTTATATTTTGATTGTCATCGTTTTCAAAATTATCTCGCAAAACTTTGGATGAGTCGAAAGCCCACAAGTAGTCGTGATCAGGCTCATTTCGCGCCAAATTTTGAGGTCATTTGACAGCAGAACCAGAAGGATCGCTTGTTGATCACGAAGAAAAAGACACCGAAAACCCTTAGAAACGACTTGTCAAGGTAAAGTAAAACCTTTTGTTTTTGTATCATAGCTTGAGGGTAACAAAAAGTGATATTCTGTGTAGATTGTGGCTTAAATTATATTGCGCTCAGTCAGTGTACCAGATCAAAGTCGAAGGCATGGACAGTTTGCGTTCCAGTTTTCAGAGTTTTGTGGAGTTGGTTTAACATAAAATCCTGCTCACTAGCTTGATAACATATCTGCAAGATTTTGCGTTTCGTTCTAGTCGCAAGAATAGAATATAATGACAAGAAATAAGGGCGGAAAAACTGGGAACTGTTGTTTTTTTTCCCGCGCGCTCACTGGAAGGTGAGAAACCCCCGGGGATCTTATCAGCTCTAACTCGAAACATCTGGTTGCATTGAAATTATCCAAGTCTGGTAGTTACTAGTTCGTCCCTGAGTTCGTCTAAATTATAAACTCTTATCAAAGACCACATAACTTGTTCCCAAACTTAAAAGCCTTTTAAAAAACGTAACACAAGTTGAGATAAAGAAAAGAAACACCTGGCATGTCTGGGCCGAAGTTGAGCACACACATGGTTCGGCGCACTGCCATAAAAGTTGGTATGTGTGAAATGGCGCGAAGCTATTTGGAAAAGTGTTGAGTACTCCTTAGATCGCAACAAAATTTTGATGTAGAATCATATTAAACAAATATTAATGATAAATAAATATTATATTAAATAGAATTCCCTACTTTGTTGCATAGTTGGGCGGACTTTGGCGAACAAATTTGCCCAATACAGCATGCAAAGTTGAACGTTGTCAATTCTTTTTTTTTTTTCAAATTGCAGGAATCAGGAGGGTAGAGTATAGTAGGTTAAATTTAGCCACGGCGACTGTTGCAGGGCTTTTCTTGCTTGCAGTCTTTTACATTATAGGGTTTATGTAAAGAGAAGCCCTGCAACAGTCGCCGCGGCTAGGTAAATTGCTCTTTCTCTAGCTTTTTTTTTACCTGTTCTCTTTACAGAATACTGTACTTTTTTTTTCTATCATGTGCTAAAGTGAACAATAGCCTGGGTAATTGAAACACCCCTGGCTGCTAACAGATAACACTTGATAACAGATCATCACATTCTGTTCTATCAGGTCAACCCACATCATCAGGCCATGGAGCAGTTTGATATCATCCTGAAGGGTAACGGGAATTTGGAAGGTGCCATTGCCAGACAGAGGTACTTCCTCACCACCGCAGACCTGGCCGACTTGAACTACTCCATCCCCCCCTGGCACGGCTGGGGAATGGGACGACCCACCAAGCTCTACAAGGCTCAAGACCTGGTCAAAAGGGTCGGTGTCACTTTCCTGGTGATGTTTTTTTCTTTAAAAAGTGTTAACTAGTAACGTTTTCCATGTGTATTATGCATGTTCAGTAGATATAATAAATATAGGGCACATATTCCTTGTATGATTACCCAGACAAATCAGGAACCATAGTAACTGTCGGTTGAAGAAGAAAACATAAGGAATGGTCTAAACTGGACTCTTGTTTGATATGCGCAACTCTTATATTATGTGTAGGTTTTACAGGAGCTGTACATGTATATACATACACTAGTTACATGTTTAACTGTTATACCTTTATCTCCAGGCAGAGCAGAAGTATGGAAAGGAAGGGTTTTTGGAGAAGCTGAGGCAGAGAGAGGAACGAGAGAAAAAGAGGAAACTGAGTTATGAGAAGGTACATTGTAAAACTTTGGTATAGTGATTAGCTCATTATGTGATGCCTGGTCAGTTTGTCTGCCATTGGGTGATGAGTAGCAGCTGTGTATGGAAACTAACCAAAAGGTACTTTTTATGTAACCACTTTTTATGTTCACCTTCACAGAAGGAAATCATACTGTTTTTGCTCCGTTTCTTCTTCCTCCTCTTCTCCAAACGAATAAGGTCAATGACCTAAAACAGATGTGTCACCATGGTAACTGGTGTTGGGTAAGGTTGCAATTTTACAGCACGAGGGATTTAGACTCCTGTCGTCATGAAATATGAACGTGTTTGAGTAAGAATTAACAGAGCAAGGTAAACATTATACATTTACTTTGCAAATGTTGTTTTTCTGTGTTTCTACTTTTCCTCTCAGAAAGAGAAGGAGCAGCAGGCCCGTGAGAGTAAGAGGCAGAAGTTGTTGGAAGCCTGTCCTGACTGGGGCAGGCAGCCGCTGACTGACTCTGCTAGTGTGGGGGCGCTGGCTCAGAAGTGCAGCATGGAACAACTGCAGCAAGTAAGCAGCAAACATATGCCAAAAAATGTCTAACCTTATCAACTATTCATTCAGTAATGGAAGGTTTGTTTGAGTCTTCGAGTGATCATGAGTGAAATGCTGGCCAGTAACTGTTTTTCTTTAGTTCATGATCAAAACAGTCAGCTACATGTAACATGTAGGGTCAGTCAAAATATAACAATGGTTACAACTTACGAATGGGGTTCGTGTGGCAGAACGGCAGAGTGCTCGACTCAGAACCAAGAGGTCCCGGGTTCGAGTCCTGACATGCCACTGATATTGTGCCCTTGGGAAAGGCACTTTACACGACTTTCCTTACTTAACTCAAGTGAAAATGAGTATTGTCTGTCCTGTATTTGTTTCTATGTGCGGGACACAACACCAGCAACAGCTGCCTGTGTCCCACATGTATTGCACTGTTGCAATTTCAATAAAGCAAATTAAATCAAATCAAAT